TGCTGGAAGGATGAGGGAAGGCTGTTGATCTCTCTGGTCTTTGCTAACTATTATTTGATTAATATAGAAAATACTAGCTATTCTCCAAATTAGACACGGTAAACAAAAGAAATGAATCGATCATAAAATAAGATACGCGTTGGAAACAAATCGAAAATTAGTTGGAAATAACTTAAGATGGATTTGAAAGATTATAAAGATTATTGTAGTCCTCAAATCCATTGAATAAACTGTGAACATTGGAGAAATCTAGCCTATCGTTGAAAATTTCCTTCCCGTGGCCCTAGAGGGCGAAATTATGGAGAATGGGTGGAGGAATTTGTGGAAGGCTGAGCTGTTTTTTTTTGGAACAAAACATATGTCCTATCAGTCCTTAGCCTATTCCTCCACGATACCTCCTCATTACGATCACGCTGTAGTGAGCTTAGTAGGAACCGCTACTTGAAGTTGGAATGGTTCTTGAATTACTTTCAGGGCACAAAATGGGCGCTGCCACTAAAATCGTGGGCGCCCTTATAGTCTTGACCACTATCGGCACTACAGCTTGTCTACTCCTTATCGGTTATCTCGTCAACGACATCAGCACGTTTGTCGATGACACGGTCAGCGAGCTGGCAGAAGTTAAGGTCGGTTAAAAGCATCTTACCTTTGCAGTTCGTCTAGGATAATGATAATGCATAACTCCTTCTAGGACATGGCAAACACGGCATGGGACCAGATGCGTCCAGCTCCACATGAAATATTCAGATACAGAAGGAGAGCGAGAAAAGAACGACGCAGAGGGCGCCGCTATGGGGAACTAGATTGCAACTGTGGTCCGCAACCAAAGAACTGCCCACCAGGACCACCCGGCCGTCCTGGGCGGCGCGGCCCTCCTGGATTCGATGGGAAACCGGGTAAGCCAGGTCCACGCGGTGTCGATGGCCCACCTAGGTACGGATTTATAGAACCACCATGTGTAAAATGTCCCACTGGTCCACCAGGACGACGTGGTAAAACAGGAGAACGTGGTTTGCGAGGTCCCGACGGTTTGCCTGGAAGACCTGGAGTGGACGGTTGCGGTGGACCACCAGGACCACCCGGACCAGTCGGTGACGAAGGGCCAACAGGGGTACCAGGACCAGATGGACCTCCAGGAGTTCCAGGAAAGGATGCTATGGTGTCCGGATATTCTGAGCCAGGACCAATGGGACCAATTGGTGAACCGGGCTTACCTGGCGTTGATGGCCCTCCTGGAGGTGATGGAGGCATTGGAGCAAGGGGACCACCAGGACCGCCTGGAGAACCTGGAAGACCAGGAGAACCTGGAGAGGACGGGCCGCCTGGAAAGGACGGAGAAGTGGGTCCCCCCGGGCCAGACGGGGACTATTGCCCATGCCCTATGAGATCAGTTGTAGAATTGGGTGATACGGATACAATGGTGGAGGTCTTGTATGTAGACGATATGAAGAGGAAATCCGGTAAGCGCTCGAAGACTACTGCTAAACCACGGAAAGTAAGAACTGTCAAAGGACAGCGCGCTTATCAACGCCCTCACAGAAGGTTCAGGAAGAAGAAAAGTACTTTTAGGCACAAGTCATAATATCAACGAATCTTTTTTGTATAGTTTATTTTGAATAAATGTTATAATACTTCTTGTTTCACAATTATACAGGCAGAAGGGGTTTGGGGGAGAAGCCCTTTCAATAGTCAATCAACTATCGGCCAACGTGTCGAACATTTTCGGAGAGTAAAGTGAACCACTCAGTCCTCCTATTTAGAGGCACAGTTCACGATAATTTAGGGGTATCCGATATTTCACAGACAGTGATAGGTAAGGCCTACATTAGGACATAAAACGCAAAAAACAGCGAAAAAAAAGAAATATAAACGGTCAAAAAAGAGAGAAAAGGGGGTAGGAC